TTTCCATCAACCAGAAAGTGTGTTTGGTGGGCTTCCTTTAATTCAATCATCATAGAGTTGATTCTTTGATTTATAAACAACAAAAGACGATAGAAGGAATCCATCAGCATTAACACAATTAAGAATGGTGTAGTTTATTTTTTCATTAAACTCCAGTTAATACTAGCGGATGCTTTGCACCTCTTCTGGTAATTACTTTTGCATCGCCTTTGTTGCCATTGAAACCAGTTTCATCACAATTCCACAAATGCATGGCTTTAGTAAAACAGATTTTTGCTAAATCGAAATGTTTTTTCAAAACATCAAAATAACGGGCAATAATTTCTGGTGCATGACCCTGTTCTCAAAGATGCAATGTTTGTAGCTGTTCTTTCGCTTAGTTATGAGTGTCATCGACTTATAAATCCTTGTACCATTAGCGACCAGTCAACCAAAATCCCAATCACCAAGCATCTGAAGAAGGTGAACCAAGGTTAACTAGATAAAGGGCTCAATTTTGTTGTATTACCACTACCAACTACTAAAGTCTTATTTGATTTTTGGTTGGACGACATTGATTTTGGTATGCGGTAGAATTAAGCTGCACCCCTTAAGTTCAAATTGTCATTTTCAATCTTATCTAATGCGTTTTTATTGTCTCCTTAGTGTAAAACTTCTCGTTTGTTTTATTTTTTGCCATTTTAAGTTAAGTAAACTCAATTCAGTTACAGATTTTTGAAATTGAAGAAACTTTGCACTTTTGTGGTTACTTTGTGTACTTTTGCATTTTAACTTCAATATTATAAGTGCAAAAGTACAAAATTAGTTAACACAAAAGTGTGAAAACTTAAAAAATCCAAATGAAAAAAAATCAGCAAGAGTGAAAAAATAATAAAATAAATAAATTTGAACATAATAAAAAAATCAGTTAGTAAGAGTAGAAAAAAAAATAAACAGATTAGGGATGGTAAAAATCCCAGAAATTATCATATAGAACACTTTAAAGGGGGCCTATGATTATATTTTTCAAAAATGTTTTTTTTTGGGACACCCTAATATATAATATATAATATAATATATATATATATATATATATATATATATATATATATATATATATATATATATATATATATATATATATATATATATATATATATATATATACAGGGTTGCAAAATAACCGTTTTTTTAAAAAAAACAAACAAAAACTATAGGTTTTTTTGGTTTAAATTAGGTTTTTACTAAAAAATGCCGAATTTACTTATCCTTTTAAAATTAAAAAAGCATAACATATTTTATTTGAGTAAACTATATTCTTTATCAATATTACTGTTATATTTTATCAAAATTATTCAATATATCATTGTTTAATGTTCTATATAAAACTACAAGCTTTGCTGTTTTTTCTACCCCTAATTGGTTTCTTAACTTAAAATGAACAAGACCAAAAGTTAAAATTTTTTTTTAAATTCCAGCACTAGAAGCTGGTACATTTAATAAACCTTCAATATCCTTTATGTTATAATCCACAATTTTTAGAGATTTCCGCCATTCTATTTGTGATACACTTTTAAAAACAGATTTACTATATAAATAGCTTTCACAAAATGGAGTAGATTTGGCTTTCAAGTTTAATATTATTGGTAACGAATTCTTAAATTCTTTATCTGCGAAATTCATGGCAGCTTCACTTTCATTTTCAGAAAGATTAGATTCAAAATATCTAGGATCTAGTGTGTTTGCCAGGAAATAAGCATCACTGACAGTCTGAAGGTATCTATTCAATTTTTTTTTTTCGTTTGATAAAAATGATAAACTGTTCATCAAATCTTTAAAAATGTCACTTATTTTTGTTTGATCTCTTTGCAACTTATCTAGAGCTACTGGAATTGGTTTTAATATTTTCAATAAATCTTTTGTGTTTCACTTATCTGTATATCACTTACTTTTTTACCAATCATGAGATCCAAGTCTTTATTTTTTTCAAACATTGCAAAAATGATGCTCCAGTTGTTGACATATTTTTCAAATGAATCACTTACAGAATTTCAGTGAATTTCAGTAGGAAGTGTCAATTTTGTTTCTCCGCTCAATTTATAAATTGCGCCAGCTTGATGGTTATTTCTTATATATTTTATTTGTGTAACACACTTGCTCACATTTTCAATGTTAAGATCATTTGCTAAAAGATACAACATATGAACAGCACACCCATAAGTTATGATAATATCTCTTTCAGATGACAATACTTGTCTGATTGATTTCATATTAGCTACATTGTCAGTCACAAAGCTTTTTACTGTGCATCTAAATTTACGTCTTACAGAATCTATTGCTTCTCTTGCTATTGTGTAAGATATTTACCAGTATGTGAATGACCAGAAGTGTTGATTGTTTCTACTAAAATGTTAATTTTATCTGTAATTACAGAGATACAAACTATAGGTTCATTATGTACATTACTCCAGCCATCTAAAGACATGGCTGCAATTTTCCTATTCGATAGATTACATTTTTAATTTCTTCTGTGAAGAAATTGAAAAATGTAATGAAGTTGTTGATCTTCAATTGACTCCATAATTGCATGGGGTTGTGATTGCTTGCACTTTTTTATATGTTCATGCATCCTTTTCTTTTCTACACGCATTATAAATTGTTCTACACCACTTTCTTTCTGGAACAGTCACTCGTGTATATTATAACCAAATCATATCATATTTGCATCCAGTTTTTTGAGACATTTTTGTGGTATCAATAAATTATATTAGAACTACTTATACTTATCATTATATGTATATATATCATTATATGTATATATATCATTATATGTATATATATATCATTAAGAAAACTCCTTGATGAAATAAGTTCATCAAGAAGCAATGATTCTTAATAAACCTATTGAAGGGGAAACAGCCTGTAGGAGAAAACAGATAAATAAGTGTTATTACTAGTTTATTACTGCTCTGTTCTATAAGAACACTGATGACTCTATTTTATGAAAAAACAAAAACAAAAATCATGGATTTAAAAAAATATATCTATATCAAAGATTAGTTATATTTGTGGACATAACCCTGTTTTAGTTTCCTGTTGTAAGTTCAAATCTTTTTTAAAAAATATTAGTTTGGTTTAAACTAACATTTTTTTAATTGGTTTAAATAATGCAACCCTGTATATGTATATATATATATATATATATATATATATATATATATATATATATATATATATATATATATATATATATATATATATATATATATATATATGTATTATATATATATATATATATATATATATATATATATATATATATATATATATATATATATACAGAAAGAGAGAGAGAGTATAATATTATATTTTATATGTTTTATCATACATATTTTGTAGACAAGCAATGTTTTGAGTTTTTTTTTTAATAAAATACAAAAAAAGAGAGTTTTAAAAGGAAAACATCTCAAAGAGAATAAACAGTTACTCAACCAAACTAACTAGTATACCAAAGACAATGTACAAATTACTTAGTGACAATTATAAGCTTAAACTATATTAACTTTTTTTTTTTTTTGACAATCCTGAAGCCCCAGGATTTCGGGATGAACAATTTGTACAAAATCCCGGGATGGCCATCCATAAAACAAATTAACCTATTAAATTTTTAATTGATTATAGGGGGATTAATTGTGCCCGGTTTAAGATAAAAACTAAAGAGAATTTTGTTTCCATAAAAACTTTTTAACGGAGTAAGATTTTCAAAATCTAAAACTATTTCTGGAAAATTAAATTTTCTAAAACTATTAGCAGAAAATTTCCAACGAAAAAGCTTCCTATGTTTTTAAATTGCCTTTTTAAATCTTTCATGCTTAGAACCTAATTTCCAAAAAAAGTTTGATTTTTAGGGTTAGATTTTGTTTGAACTTAAATATCTTATTAAAGCAATCATTTTAATAACTTTTTTGAAATTTTATAATTTTTCATACACTAAAAACTAAAATTTTTTTTAAATATTTACAAATACCTTTATTTTTAGTGAAAATATTTAGTTTTCCCGATAAGTATCCACTTTTGCGTACAGTCCAGTTTGTAGTTATTTTATTTTAAGTTTTTATAACTATTTATTATATTTTTACTTTTTTTTTAATGTAAATCTTTTTTTTATGCAATTTTTTTGCATTTTTTAATATATTTTTAAGCCAAATTTTTTTTCAATGCAATTTGAAACATTCAATTAAATTCTTCTTTTTTAAAATGATTTTGTCATTGATTTATTAGTTTGTTAACTGTTAAAAATTCATTTTAATTTAGTAAATTTATATGACTTAAAATTTACTGTATTAATTAAAAGTCAACAGTTAAAAAGAAACCAGAATAATTAAAGTAAAATATTTTTTTTATAATAACTTTCAGATAATATATCAAGTTAATTTATTATTTTTTATTTATTTACTAACAACTTGTATTAAGTTGCTTACTGCTATTATATTTGATTATTTTTACTGTCTTTAGTTTCATTCTTATGAGCTCTATATGTATTCTTATTTAAAAATATATATATATATTTATAAATATTATAAATGTAATCTAAAAGAAAATTATTTATTTAAAATCCCACACGTTTTCACACATTACATCATTACAATCTCATTACATGAAAATTTTACAACTTGGTTAGGTAAAAATAATGTTAACTTGTTACCTATCATCTCAAATGTAACATAGTTGTAGGGGATATATATAAGATATAAAAAGATATAAATAAACAATAGACTATTGATTAAAAAAAACAACCTAGAATAATAATATACCAGATAAATAATACATATAAATTCAAATAACAAAAATTTAAAAAGTTTAAACTTAAATTAAAATAAGATGTTAAAAAAATATTTATGTCAAAAACGCCATAAAAAACTTAATACAATATATTAAAAGTACATATATAGGATTTTTATCCCCAAATAAATTAAAGGATAAAATAAGGAATTTATTGCAGTTACCAAATAAAAACTTACAATTCTCCAGTTTCTCTTGACAAAATTTTTAAATGTAACTGCTGCAGCTGTTCGAATAACATCAGACGCAGTGCTAGCAGTTAAAATCTGCAGTAAAAGAACACCATAATTTGCAGTACTTTCTACTGATTCAAGATAAGATTCAGCTTGTTTGCGCTCTGATTTTTCTGCAGATAATGTATATTGAAGGACTTGAGATAACTGTTCCAATTGCTTTGCATCAGCCATTATTAAAATTTATTATAACTAATTATTACTATTATCAAAATGATAAAATCATTTTTCATGTAATATAGCAAATAATAAAATTAAAAATAAAACAAGCAAACAAACAAAAAATTGAAAAATGGCATAAAAGTTAAATGTGTTTATTATTATTGTCTAGAATGTATATTATTTATACTAGTTTTGAATATACAAAAAAAATGGCTGAAGAATCCATTTATTGGTAAACACACGCATAGACTAACACAGAAAAAAAAGTCTGATATAACTCCCAATTTAATTGTGGTTGAAGGTACAGATAGTACCCTTACACAGATAGTAACCTTTTTAGAGATAATATCACAATAAAAAAGATCTGCCAAACAGGGTAATGCTAAAAGTTATCTGGTTTTAGAAAATTGCTTTAATTCTTCTTTGTCATATGACATTATGGAAACCTGTAAATCAATCAACCATATCTTTCTGATTAAGGTCTAAGATTTAAGGATATTTACAAATAGTTTGAAACTAATTTAAAGTAAAAACCTGATGAAAATGATATCAAATAATAATGACAAAAGTAATAATATTAATAATAACAAAAATAACAATGAGAATAATAAGAATAATTTATGGTAATAATAATTATGATAATAATAGAAAATTTAGAAAACCGATAATGAAAATAATAAATTGTAATAAAAATAAATCATTAGATTTCTAAACAAAAACTGAATATTATATACACAGAGAGGAAAGCTTGTAAACAGTTAAAAACTGACATAAAGTAACAACCTACTGTGAGATAAAAAACAGTTATTATAAAGAAATTAACAATGATTAATTAATATTTATAACATTTATAATCAAAATCAAAACTATATAAGCAATATAATAATATGATATATTAACTAAAACAAATAACGAACAATATTAACACAATTTAAACAGAAAATCACAAATAAATACAAAACAAAATATAACATAAATTAACAAACTAAAAAAATAATTTTCATTTATTTATATCATGAATAATAAATTTAAGATTATTATATGAAAATACTTTTTGAAGAATTAATTATAAAAATATCTTTTTCCTAGAAAAACCCTTAACCACACTTAACACAACTAAGGTTTGTGTGTTCAGCACCTCTAATTGATAGAACACAAGCTGCTCAAACTGTATTTTTCAAATAAAAGAAATAACTATTTATGATACTGATATACAAATTGAAACCATTATACACAAAGATTAATTTTTGCTAATTCACTTTTATCAAAAGATCGAAAGTATAAATATTTCCTTTAATTTAAATATTTGTTTATTTAGGATTTAAATGGAAACTAAAAAAAAATGAGTAAAAAACTATTATTAGAGGATGCAGGTTGTAAGAAAAAACAGCACTAATATTTAAACTACAAAAGGGTGCAAAAATTGGTTTATTGGAAATCTAATTAAAAAAAAATTTGAAAACAAAAAAACCAGCACTCACAAACTAAATTAATCATTTAACTTTTACAACAAAAGAATGCTAAAAAAAACACTTTTTGTACATACAACTGTCACAAACATGGAGCCCTTTAAAACACCTAAACACAAAGGCATAACTTTGTTATGCAGATATTATATTCATTAGATAACCAAAAAGCAAATCTGGGAACTGTTGTTTGAAACAGATAAATCTTTTAATTATTCAGCGTACAAAATCTTAAAAACTGGGCAAATTAAAAAAAAAGTAGAAAAACATTTGCACCACTACAAGTAGAAAAACATTTGCACCACTACAATCAAATAATCTTTATTGAAATCTTATTGAAAAACCTATGATGTCTGGCTTGCCGCTTTATTACTAGTTAGAAGTAACTTATTGGCTTCCTTTGTTTCTCCTGTATTTTAAAAACATATAAAGCAAACAAAAAAATTGTAATCACAGCTAATCTTTTTTAAGTTGATATCAAAAAATTTTTTCGTCACCTGCGTTGATATCATGACCAAAACATTTGTATATGTGTGCAATATAATCATTATATGTATATATATATATATATATATATATATATATATATATATATATATATATATATATATATATATAATAATAATAATAATAATAATAATAATAATAATAATAAACAAAAATGGGACTCAGTATTAATGCATACTTGTCTTGTGTTTGGCCTAGCCATTAATTTTCTTTACTAATCTTTACAGTTGATCTAAAATTGTTACTAATAAAAAGTTGATATTTCTCAACATCATTGTACCAGTAAACTGATATTTATCGATTTAAATTATCAGTAAAAACATTTTTACTAATAATTTAAGCCTAGAACAATAATATATAACTTATTACCTACAATTCAAGCAAAAGACTAAAATAAAACACAAAAAATAAATAGATATCTCTATTAAATGTTTAAAAATTCTTATTTAAAAAAAGAAAAAAGATAAAATGTCATGTATCCTCTTCGTCAAAATCTAATGTATGTTTTGGTAAACTTTCGTAAAGTTTTGTTTTTAAAGTCTCTAATCCAATTTGCTCTTTTGCAGATATAAACAAAACTTTTTCAAAATCATTTTCACAAAAACTTTTTAAATTGTTTAAAATAACTTCAGCAAAATTATTATTTTCTAAAAATGGATGATTAATAGTAGCAGACGAAAGTTGCTCCAAAAACATATTTGCTTTCGTTTTTGAGTCCAAACAATCCATTTTGTTTAATACAATAAATGAAGGCCTTTTTAATAAAAGATCTTCATACAAGGCTAGTTCTTTAAGAAGTAATAACACTGTATCAAACGATGTCCTATGTGGTACATCAGAGTTTAATTGGAACCCATTTATATCAATCACAAGAGTAATTACTTTGGTTCGCTCTATATGACGCAAAAATCGATGACCCATACCCTTGTTTAAGTGAGCATCTTCAATAAGACCAGGAAGATCAACAACTTTTACCTAAAAAAGATAGTGAGTACAAATAAAAAAGTACTGAATTTAAATGCACTTTTAGAGAAAATAATTTTTTTATCTTTAACCCAACTAGTAAATTAGGGTTTATACCAGACATTGCAAAATGTTTTAACTAAAATTTAAAGATATATATTTTTATAATTTTTTTTTTAATTGTTTTTCATAAAAGGATTATTTTTAAAATCATATAATTAGACATACTTTTAAATGTATTTTTTTGTTGATAATATTAAAGGACTTTGAGTAACCTTAAAAATCATTTTAAAAGCTATTTTTTTAAAACCATCATATATATATATATATATATATATATATATATATATATATATATATATATATATATATATATATCATATATATATATATATATATATATATATATATATATATATATATATATATATATATATATATATACATATATATACAAATATATATATATATATAAATATATATATATATATATACATATATATACAAATATATATATATATACATATATATATATATATATATATATATATATATATATATATATATATATATATATATATATATATATATATATATATATATATATATACACATATACATATACATACATGTTTTTAATGTTAAACTATTGTATTTTTAAACTCATGCCTTATTTAATTTTTAATTTATAATTTTTTTAAGGGGAAGATTTCCATACACTTCATTATTTTAAAAACTTGTATTTTTATAGGAATCGGTTAAGACTATGTGATTTACACTGCATTAGAAAAATCCCAGTTTATCTTTGTATTGATTGAGAACATATATAATTCTTAATATTAGTTGATCCACTTTTGCAATATGTGTTTTGGACTGGAGAGCTTCAGATAAAAGTGATATTTCATCCAAAATATCTATCATTAGCGCAAAAACTCAAAAGAAACATTTGTTATTAAGACATGGTGTTATTTTAGAGTATCTATACCCTTTATTGTACAAAAAAAAAATTGTACAATGAAGACTTAGGAAACCAGATAGCATTTGCTGCCTGCAAACTGCAAGCAACCCATCTTGGTGTTAAAACTTATCCTATTTTTATTATTGCTATTCCTGTGTCATTGAAAATATTTTAAAATTCTTTTTGACTTTGGTTTGATTGGTGGAATATTGGATACATTTTGCAAATGAATAATTTGAAATGATTAACTTGCTTAATGCCTTTTATGGAATCATCCAAAACAAATTGTTATCTCTGATTCAAACAGTCCATGTTAGGAAAATCATTGCATATTCTTGTACCTCTCCCTGATTTACACCTGAGCATAGCACTTGTTTCATTGGAACAAAACCCTATGAAATTTTTGTTTGAATAACTTTTAGCTAATACAAAAGAACTTAATGGTCTTAGTAATTCATTATAAATCGTTATAGCATTTGAAATGTCCAAAAGTCATTAGCTTCTACTTTAAAAAATATGGTAAGAACTGATTTATGAATAGTTGACGCCTCATTAATGATTATATATAGTTTTAAATTATTTTTTAACAATGTTACACACAATATATATTTTTTTAATTCACATGAAATGTTTGACAATATGGGTTGCAGAATATTGTAGATGTACGCCCACTTCTATGCATTCCATTTTTATTTGAAGCTCAACTTCTTTTTCCATATTTCAAGCTATAAACTTTAACAGTTAGTTTGATTTTAAGTTATTTACTTGAGTTCTAATTTTATATTTAATAAGAAACTTTTTGTCATTAAATATAAAAGTTATTGCAAGCTATTAATGTGAGTTGTTTAGGTGAACTTTAGTTATTTACTTTAATAGTTTCTTTTTGTTTATATAAACAAAGATTTAATTTAAAGTTAATATTACATAAGTGAAAAAAAAATCTTTCTCTGAAGGTTAGGAATGAGCTCTACAAGCTTTATTATAGAACCAGTGCCATCAGAGATGGACCTAGATCAATTTTTGTACTATTGGAGCAGTATTGGCTTAAAAAATATTGGTTTCAAATGTAGTAGTAAACAACAAATTTTCTGTTTATTTTATAAAAAATTAGTTTTTTCTTCTGGACAATAAAATGAATTAAAAAGAATTACGTGCCATAACTTGTAAAGTGTTTAAAACTATCATTTAGTTACTAGTAGAACATTAGATTTGAAAAAAAATAAGTCAAAACTTTTTATGAAACTCAATAGACGATTTCGGAGTTAGCGTAGCCATCTTGGAAAAATATTCTTGGGGGTGCAAGTTGAACTTTGAACCTTCCGTTTTTATGCAAAATGTCATATAACAAGTATGAAGATTTTCTCAATTTAAGTTCAAAAAAACTCATAGATTATTTGTCTATTCGTGGTTTGAAAATAACTGGAAAAAAATTTGAACTTGTTGCAAGAGCTTTTGCTGCTAAGGAGCTTAATCTTGATATTATATGTTCTGCTGAAGATCAATATAAAAGGCTTCAAATCAGCCAGTTGTAACAATGGGAAATATTTTTGTTTTTATTTTAAAGAAAAAAGAGTTTAATATAAAATGTTTTTAAAAATTTTTATATTATATTTTTTGCAAAATTACTATTGATAAGTATAAATATGTTTATACTTGTTAAGTATAAACATGATGTTTATACTTATCAATATTAATTTTTACCATAAATTTATAATTTAACATCATAATTATTATATTAATCAGGGGCCATCCATAAAGCACGTCATGCAAATAGTGGGGTAGGGGGTCATTATAAAAAGGATAAAAAGGGACAAGGTTTTTTTTATTTCAATTTTAATAACATGGAAAACTATGTAAATATGTGTTTTTGAGAAATTATTGTTAGAGAATATATTTTATTTTTCAAAAGTATGGCAACAGTTTCAAACATCCTTGTAAGATTTTTTTATTTTTAAAATAGGGAGTGGGTACCAATTTTATAAAAAATGTCACAAAAAAAATTTAACTATTTTATTTGTGATATAAACAAAATTTAATACAAATTTTTAAGCATTTGCTCAAACTATGCAAGTTATTACATAAATAATATTATAAAGGTAAGATATGATCCAGCAAAAAATAATTTATTTCAGGTTTAAAACCAAAGTAGTTTCATAAATTTTTGATGAAATTGTATCCGATAATCACAGTAAGTTATTCCAAGCCTGGTAAGGAAACAAGGCAGTATGAGCATATCCATTCTGTATTGTTCTCATTTTCAGTATCCGTTAAACCTTCACATTTAAAATGGAGCCAACCTTCACAAAGATTACATTGGATACTTTTTAAATACGATTCTTTGTTTGTGTCAATTTCACACTTTTCTAACAAAACATTATCACACTTACAACAAAATATTAAAGGTTTAAAGTTTAAAAGAGCTGGACAAACAAAAGTTTTGTAAAATATATCAAGATTTGTGGAAACTTTATTCCAATGATCTTGGTTGAACTTAACTTTTTGAACAAAAGTTTCCTGGGTAGTCCAGACAACAAAAAAACATTCTTTTATTTCTGTTATTGCCATTTGTGAATTAACTTGTGTGTAGTATTTGTGATTTTCCATTAAAGTAATTTTGCCATTGTTAACTGTTAAGAATTCACAATCATTTACTGATTCTGATATTTTTTTATCACGAAGACTATACGGACACTTGATTTCTAAAATACTTTTACCATGGCATTTACAAAATACAATGCCATCAGGTGATGAAGCTAAATAACATTTAAATTTTGAAAGAAAAATTCCACATTTTTCTGCTCTAAAATCCTGATGTTTTGATATTTCTTGAGCATAAAAACTTTTAAATGCAATATCTTCATGTTAGACTCCCCATTTCATAGAAGCACTAGATACATCATCATAGTAAATTATTTTAGAAACAAGAGGTGTAGTTTTAGGTTTTATTGACCCCTGTGCTTTTAAAATTGTATTTACTTTAGTAAAAACTTCATGATGTTTAGAAGCTGTTAACCTTCCACTCCTTATTTCAAACCACAATAAAACTTCTGACTGTCCTCTTGTAGCTTTTTCAACATTTTCAATAGTCTTTAAAGACATATTTAGTTTTTCAATAAATATCTGAATTAATTCTGTTTCAGAAAACTGAGAATATGCTTTTAAAACATTAAGTGTAATGGTTTTCACAAAGGCATAATTATAATGTTCTTCATTAGTTGTACTAAGTGATTCTATGGATTTAAATAAGACGGCTTCTTCGTTTACTAATTGCATATCCCTTATGAAATTTGATATATGGTTAGAAGATATTGTCCTGTGCGATATAATTCGAGGATCAAAGTTATTTAAATTTTTCATTCTATTTTCTTCGCAGTCATTACTTAAAGATGATTTAGTTCCAAGTTTTTTAGAAATAATCAAATCTGAAATTCTTTTAGGCTCCACATCTTTGCGGGTTCCAAGGTTCCATTGACACGCTGTTTCAGTACATGCAGGATTGCACCAACCTTTTGTATTTGCATATTCAATTTTATATAAACATGTAATTACATGATTACAAGTTTCGTATGATCCTGCCATACATGAACACCATCCAGTTAAAATATCACTTCCTTTTTCATCACCTTGTTTTATAACTATCCATAAAGTTTTAGATTCATGGAGAGCTTGTGAGGCTGTTACTGTACAGTATAAAAATATAACTTTTTCCTTTGGTTTTAAATAATGTTCATAAATAAAAATGGGTCCAACAAAACCACTATCAAAGTACGAAAAGGCTTTCTGATCTTTATACTTTCCAATATAATCTGTATTAAACTCTTTTTTCTTTAAAATAAAAGCAAAAATATTTCCCATTGTCACAACCGGCCATTTGGAAAGATTATCGAATCGCTTTTCTAGTTCAACTCCATTGGGATCTGGAATTCCATGCTTTTGTAATAAATGTTCGTAATCAATTTGAAGCCTTTTATATTGATCTTCAGCAGAACATATAATATCAAGATTAAGCTCCATAGCAGCAAAAGCTCTAGCAACAAGTTCAACTTTTTTTCCA